CCTAATGCCGCCCCCGGCCGGGCGGGCCTGACCCCCTCTTCCTGCGTTTCAGAGGCTCCTGGAGATCACCCAAGGGGCAGAATTCCTCAGGCTGGAGGTGGAGGGGGGTGGATGCTCCGGATTCCAGTACCGATTTTCGCTGGACACAGTGATCCACCCCGACGACAGGCAAGGAGGAAGGGAAGGGCTGGCGGGTCCTCGGAGTGTGCGGGAGGGGGAGCGTGTGTGTAGTTGAAGGCGCACTTTTATTCCAGATTTGAACGGGTTGCTCAGGATGCTCCACACCACCCTTCCCGCCCACAGGGGGGGATGCACGTGAAGACGGGTTGTCTTGACTCCAAAGAACCCAGTTATAGGAGGGAGATGGGCCTTCCTGGGCCCGCGGGGTCGTTGATAGGAGTTAGGCCGGATGAGATGCCAGGTCAGAATTTCCAAACGTTTCCCAGGAGTCATTCCATTGGCTCTTTCTGCCTCCAAAATCGGCACCTTTTTGGGAGCAATAAGGAATGCTTCCTCTGTTTCCGAAAACCCGGAATGCGCACCTCTCACACCAGGGCCCAGAGTGTCGGGTTGTTGGTGTTTATGATCGTCACTGATGCTGTCCTCCTGTGTGTGGTTTGCTTTTTGTGTTTTTGTTTTTCTCTCCCTAGGGTATTTGAACAGGGTGGGGCCCGAGTGGTGGTTGACTCTGATAGCTTGGCCTTCGTGAAAGGGGCCCAGGTGGACTTCTGCCAGGAGCTGATCCGAAGCTCCTTCCAAGTGCTGAACAACCCGCAGGCGGAGAAAGGCTGCTCCTGTGGCTCTTCCTTCTCTGTCAAGCTTTGATGAGATGGCTGCCACGGGTACCCCTTCGAGGCACCTGGAATTAGTGGAACGTTAGGGGTTTCCTTCCAATCATGTCCCTCCCACGATTTGATTTCCCACAATCCAGGAGTGTTGTGTGTTGCCACTATGTTTTCCAGAATGTGAAGCAATCTTGACTCTTGACTTAATTTCTCCTGCACCCTTCTAAGGCCAAGGCTCTAGGTGCTGTTCCCTAAGGTTTGTTTAATAACTAGTTTGAAACCCAGTGTAATCTGGAGAGCCTCCAAGGTTCCAAAATGTGAGTTGCTTCTCTGGCCTTCAGAGCTGCTTGTACATAGATGTATAACTCTGTATAAAAGCTTCATTTTAAAGCAAGCCCCGTTTACTTGTCTTTTGAATCAGAGTCACAAATTAAATAGCGTGAACACTCATTAGGAGGCCAGAGACAATGGGAAAGGCATCTCACCCTTCCTGAATGTGCTCCTGGACTTACCCTTATTTTCTGTGCAGCTCATGCTCCGCTTCCCATGTGCTAGGGCAGGTAGATTTTATCATCACACTCAGAATTCTTTTTTAATTTTATTTATTTTTAAATTTTTATTTTATTTTTTTCCATCACCATTTATCCCCTCTATCCCTCTTACATACTCAGAATTTAGATTCACAAAACCAAAAAGCCCATCACTCAGAAAACAGACCTAACTCCCACTGATGCCTTAATCACTTGAAAAATAGGCTCCACATTCCTACAGACATTTCAAGATTCTGTGATCATTTAGTGACTGAATCTTTTAAGGATATGTGGCTTCATTTACCTTACGGCGTAAAACGCCTCTGGTCTCACACATAGCAGAAACTGGTCCCTTTTGTTGGAATAGATAATAGATACTTGAGGATTTTCTTTTAGGTTGAATTACCAGATAAAATGCAGGATACCCAGTTGAATTTGAATTTCAGATGAACAGTAAATAATTTTTAGTATAAGTGTGTCCCAAATATTGTATGAGATATACTAAAAATTCTTTGTTGCTTTGTTATTTATCTGAAATTTAAATTTAACAGGGCATCCTGTATATTTATTTCTTAAACCTGGCAACTTCATTTTAGGATTACTGAAGTAAAAGCATTTTAAGCCACAAATTCCAATGAATTTTAAAGTACTTATTTGGGCCCTGGGTGGGTGACTCGTTGTCCAGTACACCAAAAAGTTATGGGTTCAATTCCTGGTCAGGGCATATTTCTGGGGTGTGAGTTCAATCAGGCAACCAATCGATGCTTCTCTCTCTCCTTTCTCTCTCTTTCTCCCCCTCTCCCCATTCCTCTCTAGAAATCAATAAAAACATATCCTTGGGTGAGGATTAAAAAAAAATTAAAGTACTTATTTGGGTATAGCATTTATATAGGCTACAGAGCTAGAAATTGTTGTGGTATGTGTCTGACTGCTTGGGGAGCCAGAATTGCATGGACTGACAACTAAAAAAAGACAAAAATACCACCCCCATGAGGAATGATTTATAAATACTAATCTTGGGAAACTACACCCAAATTGATTCTGGAAGAATTATTGGTTAAATACACCTTTTCCTCCAGAGCCTACTAGTAAAAGTTTGTTACAGCAAAAACGTGCATTTCTGGACTGGATCGAACCATTTCTAGACTGAATTAGAATTAAGGTCATTCAATAAAAGAATTTACCATTAAAGAATGGCAATACAGACTTTAGAGACAAAGTATCTGAGATAGAAACTTAGATGCTTACATATTTAACATGGGAAAATCTAGGACTTCGAGAAAACTGATCATGTGTAGACAATGTGTACAAAGAGGAAAGAAGGGGACACTCAGAAACCTGAGCAGATTTCTTAGCAGATTTTCATGGAAGGAGGCAGAAACCAGTGTACCGTGGAAGCATCTGTGTGTAACTTTACTAAGACATTGAAAATAGCTGCCAGTACCTGGCCTAATAAGATTTTCAGCTCAGTCTAAGTCCTTTCATCCTCCCTCAAAAAAGAGATCTTGCTATATTTTAAGTGTTAGAAATATTCTTCCAGAATATTTTTGTGGGTTACTTACTGATTTGGTGATTTTAAAATTTATAGCGAGCATAAGCATAATAGCTTTAGTAGCTAAATAAACCATTGAATTGTAGTGGTTTATTAGGCAGAACAAGGTCTCTTAGAATGCCTATATGTAAGTACCTACTGTTAGTGGGAAACCTGGAATTTTGTGTGTAGAAAGAGTGGATTTGGGAGAAATCACCTTATTTCACACAGAAAGCTTTATGGGGGAACCTCAAATAACAAGTCTCCATCGGAGGTGAGTGACAGAAATTTTAAGAACACAGGGCGTGGGGACAGTGGCAGTTTGTTGGGAATAAACAGTAAGCAATATAAAACAGGTTTAGGATCTTTTGCAGGCACTTTCTGACCAGATGTCCTCTTCCTGGCAGGCCATAAAAGCCAGCAGGTAGTTTCACAAATTTTGCTCACTGCAAATTCATTTAGGAAAACTTTATACTCTTTTAGCATCAGAAGGGAGGGTTTTGGGGTTTTTTTGTTGGTTTTTTTTGCCTCCCTTTACTTTCAAGGGGAGGTTATCAAGGCCCTATTTGTTGCAGACTTGATTTTATTTAACTGTATATGCAGGCTAGTCAGTGCCTGGGGCATCATGCCCTACCCGTTGCCTTAGCAAAACATAATAGTACAGGAACCAGAGGCAGGGGAGCCCTGGATCTGCTTTATGTTGTGAATAGCTTTATGTAGTTGCTCCAAAGAGGGGGCCTTTGGCCAACGTCCAGATCTTACCTTGTGGCATGATGCTTTAGTTATGTGATTGATAGTGACTAGTGGTATGAAAACTATAGGTTTCCCACCCACCCTTTGTTTCTCTATGATTAGGAGAAAATAGTAGAAGATACTCTTTTTTTTTCTGAGAACTGAGTACTATTCTTTTGGCCTTTTGCTATAAAGCATCCTAGTGGAAGGTTGACATTTGGCAGGGACATCCTGTGTAGAGAAGTGGGCAGCACTGATGGTCATGGGATAGCTCTCCCTTAGACTCTGGCCCTGAGCTGATGTCACACAGCTTGCAGCGGGCAGGGCCTAACACTGTCCACGGCAGCATGGTTTTGTATGTTTGTGTCAAGCAGGAAACTCTACTCTTCTATGTATCTAAGATAGACATTAATGATTGCTTTTTAAAAATTTCTCTGCCATTTCTCCATGGAAATACCACAAGACTGCTTAAGGGAAGTTTGCTTTAAGAAATTTTGAGTCCAAGCCGGTTTGACTCAGTGGATAGAGTGTCAGCCTGCGGACTGAAGGGTCCCAGGTTTGATTCTGGTCAAGGGCATGTACCTCAGTTGCATGCTTGATTCCTGGCCCTGGTTGGGGTGCATGCGGTAGGCAACCAATCTGTGTCTCTCTCACATTGATGTTTCTGTGTGTCTCTCCCCCTTCTTTCCACTCTCTCTAAAAAATCAATGGAAAAATATTCTCCGGTGAGGATTAACAAAAAATAAAACAAGTGAATTAAAAAAAAAAAGTTTTGAAATAATTATTATCTGGCTTTATTTGTAAAGTATAGTCAGGTAAATATATAAAGAGACAAAACATTTAAATAGTCTATGGCCAGCAGCTGTATTTAAAAATATTTTATTTTTTTGAATAGGTAATACATATGGTACAAAATTCCAAGAGACACAAAAGGGGATACAATGAAAAAGTGTTCCAATCCTGTACCCATCCACCCTGTCATCCTCCCCACAAGTTACCATTGTTTCTAAGAATTTAGCCCACAGGTATATAATCCATAGAAATAATATGAAATAACATTTGCACAAGAATAATCATTATGGCATTGTTTTTAATAGCAAAAGTTAGAAAACAATGGAAATGTCCACCAGTAGGGGACTGATTAAATAAATTATGATTTATCCATTCAATGGAATAGTATACACTTATAAAACAGGGTGAGAGAGCTCGTATGTGCAAGTATGTATTAAGTGTAGAGAGCGCCTGGGAAGGCGCATGAGCTGATTGTCAGCTGAGTCCAGTGGTGTCGGCAGAGCCACGTCCTGGAAACATACCTTGCGAGAGGCAGGTATGTTGTCAGCCTGACCTTTAGCTCAGGCACCAGGGGGTGGGTTTCATTATCTAAGTTCAGCCAGGCGCCAGGAACGGATGCAATTATCTGGGCTCAGCCAGGAGTGACAATTACAAAGAAGTCACAAGAATGAAGAATTGCAGCTTGATCTTTAACCATGATTTCACATAATTTCCTTTGTCTTAAACTCTAGTAAAACTTCCCGGTATCATGCTGTATATAATAAACGCCCTGCACTAGCTCTGGGTCACTGCGTCTCCATCTGAGGGCAGCGTCCCACCTGGTCCCAGCTTTACTTAAAGTCTTTGTGTCTGTCTCTTTTTTTCCTTTTCTCAATCCCCAGCCGTCCCTACTCAGGACTCGTCCGCTCTCTAGCCGTGCTGGTCGCGGCCCAAGAGAGAAAACTTATAATTAAGTGAAAAAAGCAAGTGTAGGACAGCATGCATAGCATGCTGTTTGTGTTTTTAGTACATAGAAATGTGTGTATATGCATGAAATATCTCTGGAAGGGCAAGCAGGGTGGTGAGAGTTAGGAGGAGGGGCAATGGGAACAGCACTTAAGGAAGTGCAGTGCCAGCAGGGTATATTGAGGAATGGTGACATTCTCTGAAATATGGGGTGTAAGATGGAGTTAGCGAATACCCAATTCTCCCCTTTCTTCAGACAAGTAGCAGCATGTGTTACACTTTGCTATACAACCCTCCTTTCCCCTTCATCTATTTTGGATATCCTGTTAAGGCATTTAGAGCCACTTTTTCTTTTTAGGGCTCCATAGCAATTAATAGTAATTGTTTCTAATCTTTTGCTATTACAAATAATGCTATACCATAACCTCTTACACATGTCATTTCACATTTGGTGAGAAAATAGCTGAAGATTAAATTCCTAGAAGTGGAATTATTGATTCAAAGAGTAAGTGCTTTTATAATATTGAAAGACATTTCCATATCCTTTCAGAAGCTGTATCACTTCATACTTCTGTCAGCTATGCATGTGCCTCTTTCCCCAGATGCTTGCCAACTGACAAGAGCGTCTCAGGGTGGTTTCACTTGCATTTCTTTTGTTGTGAGTGAGGGTCAGAATATTTCCATTTCTAAGTTGGGAATAAAAATAGTAAATTGGATTGTTGGATAATTAAATGAAATTTGGGTGTAGCACTCAACATTGCCTAGCACAGAGCAAGCATTCAATAAGTTATGTGATGGCTGACAATCAGAGCAGCAGGTAGGACAGGACAGATTAAATTAAGAAAATAGTATTCATTTCCATGTCTCCAGGCACAGGGAGCCTTGCTCATTTACATTGCAGTTCATTAGAGGAAAACAAAGTCAGAGCTTTCTCGTCTCAGAAGAGTAAAGAACCTTTTTCTACTGGAACCCCATCACAGGCTATTGGCAGAGCTGGCGAGAGGTAGGCACAGCCTCCTCGCTAATACTTAGACTTAGCCAACATGGTAAAGAAATGTGGTTTCATGTGAAACAAAAGTGAAGAGCCCGGATGTACATTTCTTTATTCTAACTAAATTCCCAGCTAGCCAAGGTTGGAGTGGGTCTTTCCTTGTGAACTCAGAGGGATGCCAGCCAGCCATTTTATGAAGGTTGAGAGGGCAGAGGCTTCTGAGAATAGAGGAGAAACAACAGGAAATCTGGCTTCCCCCAAAACAGGACTATGCTGTATCCCACAAGCTAGAAAATAGACCTCTTTATTTTTAACACTCAAACTGGTGCCCACAAAAGGAGAGCCCAGGAGAAAGGTGTTTCCTGTAAGGAGCAGGTCTTCCGAGACGGGCACCCTGTCTTGTGAAAAGGAGCTACCGCTGGGTACATTTCGAATATTTATTCAAAGCAACTGAATATTTTCTTTAGATTTGTGTGAAGCCCTGGCTCCCCACCCCTTTTCTTTTTCTCAATTCCCTATATTTTTAATATTTCCCTCTTACTTTCTGTCTTCTTGCTCCCCTTCATTTGTGTCTCTTACACTCAGCAAGCTGGTATCAGTCTTGCTTTTCCGAGATGAGGGGATCTTCTGCTCCTCCCAGGGGCCACAGAAGTGGCTATAAGATGATGTGGCAAAATCTGGTCCAGACCAGACTGGCTAAGTGGCAGTGATGGTTCTTGGTGGGAGGCGTTGGAGTCACTCCCCAAACTTCCTCCAATCCTTTTGTGCTCCCCAGATTCTGAAGGCCCATCCTAAGACAGGTGTAGCCTCGGACCCAGTTTTGCAGTCATCAGGATGATAGGTGGATCGTGGCTGGAAAAGGTGCGGTGTAAGGCCAAAGGACCTTGCACGTTTGCACAGCTTGCGGGGGAGGATGAGGGCCATCCTTTGGTAAGCATCTCATAGTAAGGCCAGGACAGATGGCGGACTGGGCCTTGTGGCCAGTGGCTGAAGCATTAAAGCATTTGGTGGTGTTTGAGCCAAGCAAGGGCATGGTGGCATGGAGGCAGTGACAAGCTCACAGCCTGAGCCTAAACTGGGAGAGATGAAAAGCAGGCAAGGCTGGCTGGGAGTGGGGCTGCAGGGCCTCCTGCCCGATGACTTCATGGTATCTTCCCAGCCTGGAAAGCGTCCTCAAGGCCCCTGCCTCAGGCCCATTTCCAGGTAGCTGCCGATGCTGACCCCTCACTGCTACTCCTTGGCAGTGCAGTGGGGGGGCCCTGCCTCGGCCACATAACCGGGGGAGCAGTGGCAGCGGTAGGAGCCCTCCGTGTTCTCGCAGTGACCATGGACACAGAGTGCAGCAGGCCCGTTCAAGTCATCACACTCATTCACATCTAAGGAGAAGGAAGGCAGGAGAGAGATGGCAGGAGCCCGAGGGTCTCTGGCCTGTTGCCTCTGGCCCTCTGATCACCAATCCCGGCCCCCACCCTGCAGGGCAATCTTAGGTACGGCAGCCAGAGGCTGAAGTCACTGCCCAAACTAAACAACTCAAGGACACAAAGCAGGTGGTGGTGAGCCCATACTGGGCCCAGGAGAGCAGCCATACTCTTGTCCCTGTCTTTTTTCTGTGTAGGCACCTCCATGGAAAGCTTTGTAAACACAGCATGCAACCTTCCTTTGGAACTTTCTCACCACCCCACCTGGCACTGGACAGCCTCCCTAGGGGGCCACAGTGGATTATGGACCCGAGTTTAGTTGTGCATCCATCCCTAAGGTGAGCAAGGGCCAGTCTGACTTTCCCACAGGGAGACATCAATGCTTCCCGGGCATTGCCACTCTGAGGCTAAACTTACCCACACAGGCCATGTGGGCCATGTCCAGCTGGAAGCCCTCGAAGCAGTCACAGGTGTAGCCCTCCCGCACACGCACACAGCGGCCATTCTCACAGCCGTTCAGGATGCCACACTCCTCTGCCTGAAGCCCTTCGAAGCCAGCCTGGTGTTCTGGTAGGAAGTCAGAGAAGGGAGCTGAGGCCTGGACCCAACCCTGGACCCTCACCCTCCACTACAAAGAGTGGCCCCTGTTGAGTTCCTGGGGTGAGGGTGGGGAGGGTCATAAAACTTTCACAGAAAGAGGCTAAAACAAAAGGCAATGCTCTTTAAAAATAAGAGTCATTTTGGGAGGGGTAGACCTTTAAATGAGGCCTCTAAGAAGGTTGGAATTCACTGCTTTCACAACGCCAGGGCTCCTGAGCAGTGGGTATCATTACAGTTTTGGTTTTGTTGTGGTTGGTGGGAGGGTGTTTTGTTAAAACACTTTTTTTTTTTCCTGCTGGGAGGGTATTGGCAGCAAAAGTACATTACCCTTACTCAACACAAAGCAAAACTAGCAGGTCTGCCTAACCCACTTCTCTCTCTAAGCAACTCCCCACCCCTGACAAAGACGCCATCCCTAATCTCACTGCAGTCTGAATCAGGCTGTGCCTGTGGCAGGTACACTGACAGATGCCAGGCCTGACTTCCTCATTAGACTCCATCCGAGTCCTGAGTGCTGGGGTCATTGCCACCTACAAACCAAGTCACCACAGTGGGCCTTTAAAGTGATTGTAGCCTGGCCAGCATGGTTCAGTGGTTGAGCATCAACCTATGAATCAGGAGGTCACAGTTTCGGTTCCTGGTCAGGTCACATGCCTGGTTTGGGGCTCGATTCCCAATAGGGGGTGTGCAGGAGGCAGCCAATCAATGATTCTCTCTCATCATTGATGTTTCTATCTCTCACTGCCTCTCACTGCCTCTCCCTTCCTCTCTGAAATCAATAAAATAAATACAAATAAAAAAGTGATTGTAAATCCCACCCGGCTGGTATGACTCAGTGGTTGAGCATTGACCTATGAACCAGGAGGTCACAGTTCAATTCCTGGTCAGGGCACAGGCCCAGGTTGCGGACTCGATCCCCAATAGGGGGCGTACAGGAGGCAGCTGATCGATGTCTCTCATCAAAGTTTCTATCTATTCCTCTCCCTTCTCTCTCTCAAATGAATAAAAACGTAAAAAAATAAATAAATAAATGAAGTGATTGTAAATCCTGAGTTAACATTTCGGGTCACAAGTTTGAACTTGTAGAGCAGGCTGTTCTGTATACCTAAGGGTGAGGGAGAAAATTGGACAGTACGGTGTGTACCTGCTTTCTCTACCCGTTTTCTCCCACTCTCAACTTCCTCCCGCGGGGAAGCTTTTGAGGCTGGGACGGTGGTGTCTGTGCCTCTGTGTCTCCTGTGCTAGTTTACCGGAGGGAGTTGTTCGGGTCCAACTTGGGCATGCGGAGTTGTCCCCTGAGCGACCCCTGAGAGGCCTTGGAGCACCTCTCCTTCCCTGTCCTCACCCTGCTGGCAGTGATTAGCAGGTGGAGGAGATGGAAGCAAAGCAACACTGGTGCCCACCTCTTCCCTATTTTTGCGGTAACACAGACCTGGGTGGCTGGCCACGTAGCGGGGCTGGAGTTCTGAGGGCTGCAGGGGAGACTCCAGGCCTGGTACGTGGTCTCCTGGGTGGCCGGCTGTGTTGGGGAAGGGCGGCTCAGGGATGGCGTCCTCGGGGCCCAGGTAGTTGTAGAAGGGGGCCCCGTCTGGGCCATAGAGGCTGTAGTGCAGGTCCTCAGACCCGGGGCCATACTCATAGCCTGGTCGGAAGTGGACCCCAGCCTCCCGCTCGGCTTCAATCCGGGCCACGTTGCACAGCTGAGCATAGACCTCTGTCAGGGAGGAGAGAGAGGGGAAGCTGGGCCCGGTTCCTGGCAGTGACAGCCTGGCGTGCTGTCCCCTGGCTCACTACCCCGGGGAGAGGGAGCACGCTGGGACCGGTGTCCTCTGAGAGCTCCTGGCTGTGCCCCACCGCCTGCCCCACTTTATTCCCAAACAGCAGGGACTGAAGACAGGGCCACTACTCCGGTTGCCCCACTCCTTTCTAACCCCCCCTCCCAAGGCGAGGACACTCTCCACCCTGAGGCCCAGCCGGCTCTGCAAGGTCTCCCCTCCCTCCGTGCAGGCGCAGGCCGCCCTCTCACCAGAGCTCGTGGGGGGGCACAGGGCACACTGCTGGCTCCAGGCCTCGCCATCCTGGCAGCAGCATTCCGTGTAGGTGGTGCGGCGCCCGTGCAGGGGTTGGCTGCACACGTAATTGGTGACTTTTTTCCAGCAGATGTCCATGTGGATGTCATGGTCAGGCAGGTCCTCTGGTGGCACAGAAAGAGGCCCTTAAGCCCCCAGTCTAGGTCCACTCCCCCTGCGGCCCCGCCATCCCAGGCCCACTGACCCATGCCACTGGTGCTGTTCACGCAGCGCTGCTGGCTGAGGTCCAGGGTGAGCGGGGGGCTGCAGAAGCAGTGGAAAGAGCCCTCCGTGTTCACGCATTCGCCGTTCTCGCAGGCCATGTCCTGGCACTCGTCATGATCTGTGGGGGCAGGAAGACAGAGGAACATGTGGGGCAGTGCCAGGACGGCTTGCCCACGGACCACTTTCAGGGAAAGGGATTTGCTTGTAACTGATAAGGGAGAGGTAGCACCCTGCTTCCCTCTCTCCTGCCCCCAGCCCAGCCTGGGAGACCCCTCCCCAGGGGTATTTTTCCAGCAGGTCCTCACATACAATCCCCGAAGTCCCCACAGCTCCCCTCACCTCAGACCTGCCTGCTGCAGCCAGAGGGTGTCTGTCCCTGGAAGGGGAACTCCCAGCAAGACAGGGGCTGGCTGGCAGGGCTGGGTGAGCAATCAGCTGTTGGGGGGGGGGGGGGGGGGGGGGGGGGGCCACTGAGAACTCTGGGATCTAATCCCAAAGCTGGGCTCCCAGGGGAAAATGTATCCTCACCCTCACACTTCCTGCGGGTGGCATCATAGTGGTAGCCAGGATTGCACAGGCAGATGTAGCCGGGAACCGTGTTGAGGCACCGGCCGTTCTGGCAGAGACCAGGCCCGAACATCACACACTCATCAGCATCTGTGGAGGGCAGGGCTGAGGTAAGGGCGGGTGAGAAGCAGCACCTGAGATTCAGGGCTCCAAAGCCAGGTTCTGGGTTTGAATCCTGGCCCTACCACTTGCTAGCTGGGTAACTTCAGGCAACTTGCTTCAGTTCTTGCCTCAGTTTCCTACCTAAAAATGTAGATACGACTAACCTCTTACAGTTGTTATGAGGATTAAAAGATTAATACATGTAAGGTGCTTAAAATAGTGCTTGGTTTTCAATCGTTTCTTTCCCCAGCTCTGGGACTAGGGTGTTCACACCTAAGCTACCCATTTGAGTGTGGGTTCCCCGAAGTTGCTGGCTTTGTAAGTGGGGCTGCCGCTGGTCTCGGCACAGGGCACTCCCCGTTCTTTCCCTGTGCCCGTGACTGGGTTAGTCAATGCATCTTAGCTTGTTCCTAAAGGTTCAGCCTCAGGGGAGCAGAAAACCAAGGTGGGGTTGTATGAACACTCCAAGAGGAGCTCCGGTCAGAACTTCCAGCCCAAACTCTGCAGGTCACCAGCCCTAGGACAGGAGGGATGAAAGTGACCTGCATGCCATCAAGAGCTTCCCGGGACCTGCTGGGGGGCCCGCTGGGCCTGCTCAGGTGAGTGGAGGTTGGGGAGCAGGATGTGCAGGGAGGTTACCTGTGTACGTGGTCTGTCCAAACATCCAAGCTCCTTCCACAGGGATGTAGCCTTTACCACTGGGGCAGATCTCGCTGAATTCGACTGTAGGGAAGCATCCGAGCTCAGAGAGAGGAGGGCTCTGTCCCCTTCGCTCGGTGTCACCCTGCAGGACTTAGGACCATTGGGGCTGTACCTGAGTCCTCAGCTGGGCAGAGGTCACAGGCGTCTCCCCAGCTGGCACCCTGGGTGCAGCAGCACTCGGCCTGCGTGGTGTTCCGGCCCAGGAGGCGGGAGCAGGGCGGCTGGTCTTTGTGCCCAGAGTAGCATTCCATGCGGATGGGGCCTGAGAGGTGGTCCCCTGGTGGGGCCTCGGGGATGCTCTGACCTGTGTGTGATAGAGGCCCCTTGTTATTATCTGTTCATGGCCCTCTGGGACGCCCTAGCCTTTACACATTTAACATTTAAATACCACTTTACAGTGCACAAAATGCTCTTACCTATATTTCCTCACTTGATGCTCTCCACAGCTCTATGTGGTGAGCATCATTACCATCAGCACCTCTTACAGACAGGCAATCAAGATAGAAAAGCTAGGACATACCACACCCCCAGCTACCCTACCCCTGCCCACACCGCCCCAGTCCGGGCCCAGGCTCCCTCTCAGGAGCTGGAGAATGGCTGTGCGTAATGGCTGGGTGGGGTCTGGAGCAGGCTCACCTGCGGCCCCCCGTGGGCGGCAGTGCCCCTCCTGAGCATCGTACTCCTCCAGGTCGCTGGCACAGAGGCACAGGAAGGAGCCCTCCACGTTCTCACAGAGCGCCGCCCCGCACACGGCCAGCATGAGCTCACACTCGTTCACGTCTGCCAGGCATGAGGACAGGCTCGTGGGTGGAGAAGAGGCAGCCCACACCCTCTGCCCCTGCCTCCAGCCTGGGGGGCAGATACTTAGCTCCTCAAGCAAAAGAGGCTGGGTCTTGGGGGAAGAGCAGGAATGGGTATGAGTTCGCAAGAAGGAGGAACAGATGAACGGAGGGCATGGGAAGAGGGAGAGAAGGGTGGCAGACAGGGTCACTAAATGGACAGAGAAGAAGGGTTCCTCCCTCTGCACCTTCTCTGACCCCGAGGTCTCTGGAGAAGGGTGGCGCCTTCGTGAATGTGCCTGCTCCCCCTGGCGGACTGTGGCCATGCTTCCCCTACCGGCCTGGCCCAGGGGTATAGCTGACATCTCCCTTCCTTGCCCACTCTATGAGGACCCATTATGGAGCCAGGTGACCATGACCATGTCAGGAGGAGGGTCCAGGGCCTCTCTCCAGGACAGCCAAGATCTGTGGAACTGAGACAAAGGGCCCGAGAGCCTCCCCTTCCCTGGCCCAGAGCCTAGATACCCCCCAGGCTTCTCACCCACGCAGTCCCAGCCGGAGGACGAGGTCTCAAAGCCCTGGTCACAGAGGCAGCGGAAGGAGCCCTCCGTGTTGTCGCAGAAGCCATGGCTCCCGCACACCGTGTCGTTGGCACACTCGTCTATGTCTGTGGGACAGTGGAGACTAGAGTGGAGGGTGTGCTCTATGCACTCTCTTTATTTGTTGGGAATACTTACTTATTCGGTCTATTAACACCAAGATCTGTGAAAAGTAACTTCTAAACACAGGACAAGAAAACTAACATTCCTCTTCAGTTTTTGTGCAAGCCCTGCTATACGGAAAATATACGAACTTTCAAACAGCTGCAGAAATAATGTCCTCAGGGGAAAATGAGAACTAGGTGCTTCAGCCCTCCCGCCTCGGACCCCCCTCCCTACTCACCTATGCAGTCTCCAGAGGGGGCCAGGTGGAAGCCAGGCTGGCAGCCCAGGACACAGCGGTAGGAGCCAGGGTTATTCTCACACCGCCAGGCCCCACACACCGGGTCTCCGTGGTCCTCGCATTCGTCAATATCTGTCCCCAGAGCCACGAGAGGAGACAGGAGTGGCCAGGTGACTGCTCTGGCCCCACCTTCCCAGCATCCCCAGGCCATGCCCCACAACCTCTGGGGTCCCTGATCTCTTCCAAATTACTGTGATCAGGTCACCCCCCAAACATCAAGTTCAGGGTCATTTCCCCTGACCCAGCAGGGATGAACATCTAAAAGAGTTCTGCGCTATTTAGAAAAGCACCGAGCTCTTAGCCTCCTTTCCCCCACCCGTCTGCCAATAGTGGAGCACTTTATACTTCTCTGTGTATAAAACCTTCACCAAAGTGTATTACAGCGAGTTATCTTCGTATCTGTCTCCCTTGCTCAATTTCAAGATTGCCCGTAACTGTCTGTTTGTCCTAGCAGAAGACATTGAACCTAGCAGGTGTTTAATAAATGTCTATTGAATCAGTTTGGCTTTAAAAACTGGATTGTGTGCTCTGCTCGCACAAGGGTGATGACTGTCTTCATTCTGTCATCTGCGCACAGTCCCCGAGTCAGCAGAGGCTCAATAAATGCATCATCCATCCGGTGATGCATGTGTGGAAAGTGCCTGCTTCCAGGAAGCTGCAGTTCCTGGTCCCAGGGAGCTGAGGACCGGGGAGGGCGCGGGGCGGGGGGCGGGAGGGGTGCGCAGACATGGGGATAGAGCCTGCCCATTCCCTCCTGAAACCCTTACCCACACACTCCCCGCTCTCCGGGGAGGGCTGGAAGCCAGTCTCACACAGACAGTTGAAGGAGCCCTCGGTGTTGACACAGTGCCCTCCCAGACACCGGTCTGTGACTGCACACTCGTCCACATCTATAACAGGGACATCTGTCAGCCGACCCAGCCACAGCTCCCTAGACCCTGGGCCCCACGTAGCCCATAGGAGGGCCAGGGAGTGGCTAAGGGTAGGAAAGGGCTCAGGGTTTGAGGAAGAGTCCAGAGCTGGAAGCCAGAGGCCAGGCTGGGGGGAGGAGCCCTGGAACTGGGGCTCTGTCAAGGGGAGAAGGGTGACACTCAAAGAGTTCAGAGGGTGCATTATGGTCAGCCTCCCATCTTCCCTTCCCTGGGTGGGACCAGGAGCATTTTATTTCCGTAGTCTAGCCTGTAGCGCCCCCTGCTGCTGACAAGCGGACATGGACAAGTTGGCTTCTCACCCTGGCAGCGGGTGCCTCCCTCTGCGCTGACAAAGCCGGGGGCACAGAGACAGAAGAAGGACCCATGGCTGTTGAGGCACTCGCCGTGGGGTGCGCAGTACTCCTCTCCCACGCACTCGTCCACATCTGCAGGGAAAAGATAGGCAGTGGTATCCCCTGGGAATATTCCCACCTCCCCACACACTCACTGCCCTCGTCCCCGTGGGGAGACCTGAGCCGCTCACCCTCACACACAGTGCCATTGGCCAGCTGGAAGCCCGGGGGGCAGAGGCACTGGTAGGAGCCAGCCGTGTTCTTGCACTCGCCTCCCCGGCAGTTGCTCTGGAGGTCTTCACACTCATCCACGTCTGCAGGGTCACACGGGAGGAAGGAAGCCCATGGCAGCGCCTCCCAAGGACAGACACCAATGGGGAGGGTCCCAGGGGCCTGCCACCTGTCCGAGGAGTCTGGCCCCATGGAGGCATCACCCGCTTACAAAGCAGCCCAGCTTGGAGAGCCTTTGGGCAGAGGATGACTGACGCTCCCTCCACTTCAGCCCCAGCCCGGCAGGCTCCGCTGCCTCAGGCTGGGCTTCTCCAGCTGCCCATACAGTGCCCGCCTTGGGGACACTTGGCCTCTCTCAGCAACCCTGGCCTATGATGGCCACACCCCAAGGCCCTTATGGCTCAGATTTTACTGAGAAGCAATAGGAACACAAATGAGAACTAAACCAAGGAAACAGATACACAGAACCTGAGAAGATAACAGAAACTAGATTCTTCAAGTTGGCCTACAGATCCCCTGGTACAGGCCAGTGTTTTTCAAAATAGAGTTCCAGTGCCCATCCTTAAGAGGAACCCTTGGGGAGCTTGTTAGAAAACAGATCCCACCCCCCGCCCCATATCAGAGGTTAATTTGGCAGGTCTGGGGCAGGGCCT